GTAAAATACCATATTAGTCCAACTACCAAGACCAGATAGAAATTTTGCAATCATACAGATGATTGGTAGTGGCACGCCAAATGGTAAGCCTTGATAGCTATATAACGTGCTTGCGTTGATGCAGATACTCTTCCGAAGAAATGTGAATATATATTATAAGTTTAATTGCCAAAGGGTAGATAATCTTGGCACCCAGATTGCATGCCATAATATTACTTTAGTATCCAATAAGTGAGATACCTAATTGAGCCTTAATTGTTTAATTAACCCGGATACTGGAATTAGCTGGGACAAATACTTGAAACGGTGGTAAAGTTGTCTACCCTGATGGAGGCAATGTACTAAATTTTTTAAGCTGTACTTATGTGACAATCATATTTCCTCTGATATTGTTGAATAAATGCTAATTAATCCTATACACGACTGGAGAATTAACGTCTTTAAAATGGGCTGTGAGCACATTTTTTACAACTCCATGAGCTTCTACAAAGTACAAGGATTTAAGTTGGACGGATGTAATTGGGTTTCCCTTTCCTCTTTAAAATCGTATTATTAGATATGTTTATTAACTCAGTGTAGAATGTGTTGTATACGAAAGTATTCTCCATAGTTGTGAATACCTCTGACAAACTGCCATCTGTTGAAAGAGATTGCGTACGCGTAGACAATCAGTTTGAAATATTGAATAAATGTTAGTGGTATGTATTTTTAGTTCTGTGTGGGTTTATCTTAGTTTTTGAAGTCAAACAATTGGGACGCCACGAACACGCCTCGGCCGTTGCCTTGTGCCGCCTTTTCGGAAAATTGGATCGAACCCTCCTGGGCAAAGACGACACCCGCCGCAGTTTGGTGGCTCCAGCGTTAATGAGACGGATTTGATCGCTGTTGGTTTTCCCCTTTTGTGCAATTAAAGTGACGTGTCGTCCCTGAAGCTCTTTAAACGGTAGATCAATGCGGCCATAAGTGGAACGCACGTATAATTAACGCCCACTCCCTCTTGTTATTTTTTTGGGAGAGACGGAGAACGGTGAGACGGACGCTTTTGCTGACCCGTGGGCCAACTGTCAGAACTGCTGCCATCGCAGTGGAGGGCTAATGTGTCTCTCGAGTGCCTGTGGTGCTGCTGATGGCAGGAGGCACGACAATGGGTGAGGACTCATTAAAAGAAAAGAAGAGGAGAAAAAGCTATTCTTTTTCCTGAGTTGGGATCGCTGCTCCTCTTCTCTCGATATTTCCCCTTCTCGATGTGCAGTCGCCAGGTGTACAGCAGCTTGAACTGGGGAGGTGTGGGGGGTGGATGAGGACCAGCATGCTTTCCTCTGACACGTCTAGCCACTGGCCAGTTGACACACTGTGAACTCCACTGTCTTTACAGGACAGTTTGTTCCATGTGGAGGCGGGGGATCGTCTTTCACTAACAGTGCTGCCAACTCACAAGTGCGCAGCGTGCATTGGGGGGGGTCTCCTTTGCATGCCCCCTCAAGGTTACCCAATGTAGCCAGCTCTGCATTGCCCTCGCTCACGATTCTTGATCTCATTTGGCCCCTGATGCGGCTCAGTTCCAAACTAGCAATGTCTGACCTGCAGTATAGGGCTCAACCTGCATAAACTGGATGAACCGCATGATGTATATTAATAAGAACTCTGTAGAAGCTTGAATTCCAACACAGAAAGTACATCATTGTTTTTCTAGAAGGGTTTGTGCAACGATATTTTTATCCACGCCGAGGCAAAAATGGTTGGCACTCCAAACACGGGGCAAGGGTGTGTAATTCTTCAGAAAGCAACAATCACTGGTTATCAAAGCTGCCCACCCTAGGAAAACAGTTTCACAGTTTTCACAGCACGTCTGGTTTGCTGGAGAAGGACCAATGTGGGGTGTGGTAGGATATAGCACAAACCGAGACTCTCCTGTAACTGCTGCATTTTCGGTGAGGGAGATCTTTTTTGATCGGCCCACGTTGGTGATCGTATTGCAACACACCTATCCATTGCAGGGCAGTACGTCTGGTATAGTAAAGTAAAGCTTCTTAGTGTCATTGATTTTCAGTCAATTTCACAAGCTGGGGGTGTGAAATTCAAGCAATTCGGGTACACCAAAAAAATAGACCCTGCACAGTTTACACACATTTGTGGAATTATGACGGATCCCTGCCGTGGCTGAATTTGTACCGTTTTGCTTATCTCAGAGTGTTTTGACAGCAGCGAGAGGCGGCATGCGATTTCCTATCGGTAGCGGGTAACAGTACCTCCTGTTCGTAGCAGCTCAGAGCTGCTCCCCCTCAGCACACGGCAGACACTCTTTGCTTTCGTTCACATGGGGACTGGCTGACAGATAAGGAAGGAATATCTGTCGCCAAGAGAGGAGAGAGACTGTCTTACAAATGCAGAGGGACGGTTGAGCTGTAATGGGCTTTGATGTGTCTTCCTGGCAGCCCGCAAGAAGACTGCTAACAACCTTAACCCCTCAAATCGCCGGCATTGAAGCTCACTTTGGCAGCTCCAAAGAATACAAACATAAACAGTGCAGTGGTATGCATGTGGCGCTACTGTAGATGTCCTCCAAATAGTTAAATTCATCAAACAAATGTTAGAAACACTTGTTCTGCAGTAGTGGCTCCCAGCCCTGCTCCTGCGGGTGCTCGCTCCAGCCGAGCTCTGAATCACCGGTGCCTTTCATCGGTCCACTTGCTTGCTGAGACTTGGTCCCGTTGGTTGCGTTTGGCTGCCACATCTGAACGGCACCAGTTCTCATTCTCATTCAGCTTTTTTCAAAGAGCCAAAGGCAATTGTAAAAATAAAACCTTCCTCAAATTCACCGATCAAAATCGCTTGGGCTACAGTTAGGAACTGCTTTGGAATAAAAGCTAGGTGATACAGGGGTCACAGGGAACCAGTGTGTTGGAGCACTGCTCTGCAGCAGTAATGGGTATTAATAATATCAATAATAAGTATTGCTTACACTTATATAGCACTTTTCTGGACACTCCAGTTAAAGCGCTTTACAGGTAATGGGGATCCCCTCCACCACCACCAGTGTGCAGCCCCACCTGGATGATGCGACGGCAGCCATAGTGTGCCAGAACACTCCCCACACACCAGCTATCAGTGGGGAGGAGAACAGAGTGATGAAGCCAATTCATAGATGGGGATTATTAGGAGGCCATGATTGGTAAGGGCCAATGGGAAATTTGGCCAAGACGCCGGGGTTACATTCCTACTCTTTTCGAGAAACGCCCTGGGATTTTTAATGACCACAGAGAGTCAGGACCTCGGTTTTACGTCTCATCTGAAGGACGGCGCCTTTTTACAGTATAGCGTACCCCATCCAGGTACTGACTCACACCTGCTTAGCTTCAGTGGACTGACAGGTTGGGTTGGGTGGGTTGTTTAAAGGATGTTTGCATTCTGACATTTCCGAAACAGTACGAGAGACAGAATTAGGCTGGGAGCACTTGCTTGTTGAAGGAAAAAAGAAACTTACAAACTGTTGCAACAGTACTTAAAGTGTACGTGTAAGTGTACCCCTCAATTTTCTCTTATTCTGCAGATGGGATTGCACTGTGAATAGTCCATTCAAAGAAGAGTGGTTTCTGAAGAGCCTCAAATAATTGTTTTTAAAGTGTGTAAGATGTTCAAAATACACGAAGAGGCCCTTTGAAACGAAAACCTTAGCACTCTGTCGGCTTCTGAGAGAAATCTTGACAAAACCACAAAAGGTCCTACATCCTCATGCATCTGCGAGTTCAGAGTTTTATTTTTGTGTCCTTAATGTAACTCTGGCAGGGAAAATGGTCATTCTTGTTTTCCAGGTTCTGTTAAATATGAATTCGCCAAAGCAGCAATAAAGATATCAGGGATGTTGGGTGTACAGTACTTAGATCCTCTGCCTCCCAACCCCCTTTCTCACTGACATGTTATTTCTGTGAGGTTTGACCTAAATGTTCTGAAAGCTAGTGACCAGATGGGTGTCTCTTCTGATTTTTTTGGACACTTCTGTTATATCAAGTTCAAGTGAATTGTCATAAATACCCCACTACAAATGAAATGCTCACTTGCGTGTTATCCTCACATGACAAATGACATAACATTGACATAGACAATGACATCACAGTTCTTGGAGACAGGAATAGGGTAGCAGCTATCATTTTAACCAGCATTCTGGGAGCAAAACAACTTTTACAGGTTTAGTAGCTCTAGTTAGGAGGCTGTATTTATATAGTGGATTAAAACTGCCAGATCGTCATGCCATTCGACAGCTACAGTACCCCAGAAAGAAAAATGCTGGCTGCTTCTTTTGCCAGTGTTGCTAGTGCCATGTTATTAAATGGCTGTAGCTGCCTTTCCCTCTGAATGGACGTCGTTGGAGGAGAATGACGAATGATTTTCTTCAAAGGCTAATCAATCCTTTGGCTAGGGGTTAGCCGAGAATTCACACGCTTGTAGGCCTGTGGTGCTGGCAGCAGTGACTGACAGATGAAATGCAAGGCAGCCCCATGCCTAAATTAACCCGTGTGCTGTGCATCTCTAAGGGGGGCTCCTGTTCTCACTGAGGACACCTGCCTGTTTGCGAGGGGCGTCAATGGGCATGATGTGCCAAGAGGCCAGGCTCAAGCCCACATGGCACAATACCTGACTGAACGTTCAAGTGGACAGTGGTATGACTCCTGCTGGTGTTGATGGGCACTTTCAAGTCAGAACCCACAGCGGTTAAACTAACAAGCCTTTGTTGCAATGAACTAGGCATGTGTGAGCTGTGGTATCCAAGGGATTTGTTTGATTGGACGTTGAGTGGTTTATTAAATGTATTCCTGTTCTCTGGCTCACTGCTGGTGAAATCACACCCACAGTAAACATAGGTATTAGGTTGCCTCCTCTGAAAATGATACATTTTGTCCCATGTAAATGAGAGAATGTAAAATAACTAAATGATTCATCTCAAAATGCTTTTTTATATTTTTATTAACTATGATGTTGAGGCTTTGTGTCTGCATATTGTTTGGATTTTTTCGATTGGATGTGCCTACTAAAGCTATAGATTAACGTCTTGGTCCTTTGACAATCAAGGCGTCGTCATAAACGTTTAAAAGTAGGGAAAAAAATGAGATAATTTGTTTTGTGAATCTGTCCGCAGAATTGCACCTTTTTTATACGTTTAAACGAGGCCAATCTCAATTTGTAGTGTGCTCCTTTGTATCCATGTATAAATAACATCGGTTATCTCCGGAGGAACTCGTTGTTACCGTACTGGCACAGTGTTTCACACCGGGGTTTTAGAATATTAATCTCAGTGTGCTCCTAATCCCCCAAAATAGGAGTAATCCCTTATGCGCAGTGAATCGGACCGCACGTACTGTCGCACAGACGACAGACGACACCCCCCCCGTTTTGGTGAAACACGTTTTTTCCTGAATGAAAATACCGCAGCCGTGGCAATGTCGCTTTAAAATGTGATGTCAGTTGTCGTTTAAAAAATGTGCGTGATGATACAGTAACCTTATACTGAATGGAGATGCTGTGCTCTCTCCCCCCGCCCCAACTCGCTCTAACCCGGCTTTCTGAAACCCGCCGAGGCGCATGCGTGCTGCTGACTCGCAGCAATTCGCTGGTAGGGGCACATCGCATCTGCGCTTGCAGCCCTCATCTGAAAGGAGGGGGAACGAAACCCAGGGAGAAAATCAGCTATAATACACTGAAATCACCCCCCCCCCTCCCTCCTCCTCCTCTTCTACCCCCCCAACACTACCACCTCCGGTGCAGACCCACACAAATCAGCCAGGAACGGGAGCAGCGCAGATTGGAAAGCTGTGTGGTGCTTTAGCGGCCAGAGGGCCAGTTGGGGAAGAAATGTCTCTCCTCTTCGGCATCCTACTCGGGAACTGTCAGAAGAAAGTAACAGGATGTACAGCCGGGAGAATTAATGTTTCTGGGGGAATAACGGAGCGAAAGGGGGCCAAAGACGGAGCACTGCAGCTTTAAAAAGAGGTTACTGGGTTTTACTTGTATTTCCCGGGACACTATTTGACAGACGAGGGCTTCGGCTTATGTGCAGCTGACCAGGGAAAGTGACAGTGGACCGAAGTGGAATTAAGGGGAACAGTCTGTTCATAAGCGGACTCAAAATGCCCCGAAAGTTCAAGCCAGGACGTCGAATCGGAGAGGAAACACAAGTTTTGCGTTAAAACCAGTCATATGTATGTATGCATCTGCGAGCCATCGCATGAAACAAGTACGGAAAGGCGTTATCCGGAAAGTGAGCGCAGAGGCGGCCGTGACATCGGGGCTGTAGTTAGCAAGTGGCGGCGCATGTCGGAATGGGGGAAGAGAAACTTACCGGTACAACTCCGACCGGGTTGTTTCGTCGAAGTGGCGGCGGTCGCACGTCGCTGAGGTTTCTGTCGTCCCCGGCTCTTCAAAAATAGACGCGAGGGTGTCAGGTAATATTTCACGCCCCGGGGCTCGGTAACCGGCCGGCATAGCAATCTGCGCAGGAGCTTTCGTACAGTACGCAAGACCCCGACTAGCCTTATACCGCTGGGCTCGGGTTGAGGAGTGAAGTCGTATGTTGGAAAGATTCAGGCCGCTCTCGTTCAAGTCTCCGCTTCACGCCAGACCGAGCCGGGACTGTGGGGAGTCGCTGTTTGCACACCGTCATTGGGGGTACCGTTAGTACCCAGTTTGCCTCGGAAGTGTCTGTTTATGCCAGTGCTGCGCTGGTAGGCTTCCCTTCTGCTGTGGTCGACCCGCTCCAGCGGTAAAGAGCTGGAGGAGCTTGAATCGCCGTTGAACTTGGGTTGTGCGGAAAGATATTCCCGGGAGAAGACAACCAGAATCGGAGCGGTTTACTCCCGACACTTTTCGTCAAGATACTTTATCACAAAGAGTTACCTTAACACCCATCCCCCGGCTGAAATGACACCGGACGCGGTCATCTGAGCGGCGTCACGGCGGCTGTCGCTCGGACTGTGCCCAGAGCCCGAGACTGCCAGAGCTGAGCCCGAGTGGGACGGGCGTCGTACTGGACGGTAAGGGTCACGCAAGTGTCTCCTTCATGCCGGCTGCCGCAATTCCCCGAAGGCGGAAACGCATTCAGATTTCTTGAAAAAGTGACTTTGTCTTCTTTTTTTTCAAACGGATCTCCCCGCCGAACAATCGCACAAGAGCAAGAGTGCAATACGAATAAATCCGAGCTGCGTGTAGACCTGAATTCTACATTTTACCGGGGTACAGTCGTGTAGTTCGAGAACTTCGCAGTTGGCAAAGTGGGATCTGATCATTTGTTTAAATGCCAGAGCCCTGCGAACTGTTATTGAAGGCTCTTTCGGTGGAAGTTTGGCGTTTAAATAATGAGATGTTTTAAAATGCGATAGCACAATCAATACGGCAGCTTAGTTTTTTTTTTTTCCCCCACAGCGTGGGACGCTTATAGCTATATTTCGTATCGATTTTGTGACTGGTTTCCAGGATCTGGTTTTTCAGATTAATTTGTGTTTATGCAGAGTGATCTGCTTGAAGTTTCCAGTCAGGCACGCCCGAGCGTGTGTGTGTGTTTATTTTTCTTCATTCTCTCTGCGAGCAAGGCGGCAGCTATCCAAGTCCCACAGCCGGGGCGCGGTGCCGGACCTGGGACCCGGAGCTCATCGGAGGGGTTTCTCGCCGGAATCGGACGGTTCTGAAATTGTGGAGTGTTTTTTCATTCCCCCCCCTCGATGCTTTCCGACCTGGGCGAATGAAGGTCATTTCCGAAAACCGTGTTAAAAAAAAAAAGGAATCGCGATTGGAGAAGGTTTGTCAGCAACTTGCGCGATCTAGTCGCGCTGGGAATGTGATTGCAAGCCAGCGGACACCCTTCTGCAACACGGACTTAGATTTTTAAGCAGAAGGCAGGGCCAAGGTAAACTCGGTTACGGACAGTTGGATTGTTTTGAGTCACTCGGGGATATTATTCCTCAGTCTCTCCCGGAGATATACAAGTGTTGCTCCGGCTGATTTGTGGCTCAGCTGTCAGCAAAGCTCTCCCGCTCCGAAAAGATCAAGCTGTCCAGCAGGATTGATCACACCTGCTCGTCAGTCTGCTTTGAGTGCCTTATATCAAGCCCTCCTCGGGTCGGAGCGCAGCGAGAGAGGGAGGATTTGAGTTGTCCTGCCCCCGAGCCGCCGGCCTTTCCAACGCTCAAGTTTCGCTGCTGGAGAGGAGAGCCTGCAGTTTTTTGGGGGAGATTGGTTCTGATGGGTGTTGCTGTCAAGTTGCTTGATGTCGCACAAAAGGAGAGAGCGTTGATATCACAGATCTAGTAAGACGTTTCCCGTGTCTGGAATTCCACGAAAGAGATAGGTACTTGGCCGACCCATGTGTCCTGTTGGATTAATTGTAGAGCTTTTTTTTCAGAGTACCGCTGCGCAAGAGGGCAGTTTTTCTCTGTGTTCGACAGCAGGGAAGAAGACAACTTCTTCAATTTTTTTTTTAAATCTCATACATGCAAATAAATCTTCCTGCCGTTTCCTGTTTGTAACCAGTATTCATTTTGGTTTTCTCCTTACTGGAACCAACGTGAAAACACTTGGTTATTGTGTGTTTTCAATAGCTATTGGAACAGCATTTCTCTAAAGCAATCGAGCACAATTTGACGAGGCTGCTGCCGAAAGCAACGTCAAACTCTGTGGAACAAGAGGGTTCGCCTTGTCCTGTGCTGCTGAAGTGTTTGTTTGTTTTTTTTCCTGTGGCTTGAATTTATACACTGGTCGTCCAAAACGGACCCGAGATATTACAAGATGATCTTCACTGCCATACCCGTTGCTGGATCTGTCCCTCGGGATCTGGAGAGCTGAAGAAAGCCTGGATGTGGGACAGGTGAAGGAGCAGGTCTTGCCCAGCCCCCCCAGCCCGATGAAGGAGTCCTGAACCCCCCTGTCCCGTCAGACCAGGAAGTTTTGGTTCCCCTGAACTCTTTTTTGCGCCTTTCTTAGTGTGAAGGAGGTCTGCCTGCCCCAGACCCATCTCTCCCCCCACAGCTTCCCAGGGGGGGGAGGGAGGGGGGAGGGCTGCCATGGGGAGCTCCGCCTCTTCCCTCACGGCGGAGACGGAGTCGGACCATGGATTCCGGAGCGCCCCCTACCCTCCGGCGCCCCCTGTGGGCTGGCTGCGGAACAGCCACAGCAGCCCGCTGTGGGGTAGCTCCTTCATATCCAGGCAACAGCAGCAGCAGCCGGTGCCACACAGAGAGCGCAGGTGAGGATCGCAGCCCGAGACGCCCCCGATTTAGAAATGACACAACACGAGCACAAAAGGAGCAGCCACAAACACCACCATGTCTAGGAGCTCGGCCTGGTGTGCAGCGCAAGGGCTGATATTTATTTATCCTAGTGCTGCCGCCATGTTGTGGGGGGAAAATGGATGGTTTCACCATGTTTTAAGGTCTTCATGCAGGCGTTCCTGTCCAGATTCTAGATGCGATCCGCGTTTTGGGGCGATTTTGAGTTGTGTGTTTAATTCTTGACGGTCTTTGCGTGCCCCGTGCATTGCAAATAGTATCCGGGTAAGCGGTTGTTCAGCACGCACGTGCAACAGAAATGTCTTTGTGGAAGTATCCGTGAAAGCTGACCGTGTTGGATGTTCGGTGGGGATTGTAAATGTCGTGGTTGCGCAGTGCTCTGAAGCCGATTGGCAATAACCACAATCCAAGAGGGAATCACCAGGACCCCTGGATGGGCACGAGGAATCTCCCTGTGAGAAAGGTAGCTGACCTCGGTGTCCAGTTTAAAATTCAGGATGTGTGGATTAAGTCAGTCCGGCAGAACACAACTGGAACAGACCTGGCAGAGGTGAAGTGTGGACTTTCTTGCCGGTTTGCCCCCGTCACAGTATTGTCTCGCAGAAACAAGGCGCTGTCTTCTTTCCTTTCACACGCCGCAAGGCAATTTGAAAATGTGAACTGGGAGCATTCCCTGACCTTGGCTGGAAGCATGCTGTAACAGATGGGCTACCCACACGCGGGCGGCAGAGATGACAGGACAAATAGATGTTAATTAGCGAAGGTGTCTTGGAATGCGGCGGCCATCGGGATACTCTTTGATCCACCGGTGTTCTCAAGACGTGGCCCCAGAAAAGCTGGTTTGACAGTGAGCCATTTCATCGCAAAGCCCAACTTAATCTATCAAACGTCTGCAAGTTTCATTCCCGATGAACAGCAGTGGCTGTTCTCTGTGACCCCGCAGAGCTAGACAGGGTCCAAGCATGGCCTAACTCCCGTTGCAGTATTTAAGATCACTTTATTGGCCGTATACAATTTCTTGTTTTGGGAATTTGTCTTTGCGCAGACCCCAGCTTGCTCTCCATGAGACACGCAGACAGGGAGAGAGAAGCTGGGGGTCAGAGCGCAGGGTCGGCCATTGATACCGCGCCCCTGGAGCAGCTGGGGCGAAGGGCCTTGCTCAGGGGCCCGACGGAGTAGGATTCCTCTGCCGGCTGCGGGATTCGAACCGGCAACCTTCCAGCCACAGGCGCAGATCCTGAGCCACAGAGCCCTGGCACTACATGAGTTAGAAAGCCATTGGCCACAGACATTGGCGCTGCAGTCTGCCCACCCACGTCCTTTCATGTTCAGCCCAGCTGCTCCGAGAGGTGATCTCGGGGAGGACCAGCTGAAAAATGTTCCAAGTATTTCTGCCGTACAGCCTGGCGACTGGCTAGTTGGACCGCTCCAGCCCAGGCTGGGCCGCCAGCTGGCGGAGGGTGGTTTAGTCTAGAGTCTCTGGCTCGTGTGAGCCTGGTGGGATCTGTGCCGAGAGAGCAAAGGAAAAGTTCAGCCGGGGTTGCTAAGGACCGCGAGTGTGGCCTGACACGCAGAATCCCCGCGTGCTTCCATCCTGCAGCTTCGGAAAGCCATTTGCTTCAGCTTCAGCAGGAGGGTGACGCAAATCCAGAAACACACCGTGCCTGTGCACCGGGGCAGGAAGGCAAAGGGCTTTGCAGCAGCGCGGCTGGCGAATTCTGTCCTGCCTGGCTGGAGGAGTTGGGCTCCTCGCTGTGTAGCTAATGAATTTTACCTTCTGCACCGAGGGTTGTTAACGTGGGGCGCTCGCTTTTAATTAGGGTTGAATTTTTTCACTCAATTTAACAGGCTTTCTTTCTTTAGGACAAAATGTAGATGTCGGAGGTAATGATTGGAGGTGCCTAAGTAGTAGATGGAAAAAGTTCGAGTCATCTTGGCGATAATGCTGGATCAATTCAGAGCCTTACAGCACCTTGGTGCCTAGCAATTTGTCTCCAGCGTTTCTTACTGTTGATGGTATAAATGTGGTTGGCAGACGGTTATGTGATGAGTTCCTGGTCCTGAGGAGAGCTCTCCGGATGTATTAAAATGCTGCAGTGGAGGGGGATGATGAGAAAGCCGGAGTCAAATTGTGTTTCTGAGGGCTAAACGGAATACCAATTTTATACACATAAGACGCCTGATCAAATAAGATGTGTATTATTAGACGTGATGTGCACCTCGTTGTCAGTACACTCAAAGGAAGTTTCCCAGGTCTGCAGGTGTAAGGGCGTGTGCCTTTGTCCCGCACTCGGGGCGAATGAGTCACGGGTCGGCTCTGGTTTCTGTGGCGTCCCAGCGAAGACGTAAGACGAGCTGAGGTTTCATAACGAGAGGGGCGATCACTTATTGCTGAGTCACCGCGTGAGTTTCGGCCTCCTGCTCATTATCGCTGGTCAGCACTGTATCGGGTAACTATACGGTCGAGTCATTATTTATTAAAGAATTACTTCCCGGCGAGAAGAATTTCTTCCTTTTCCGCAGCCTGCTTTGATCAGTGCTTCCCTTTGAAGCGTGAACAGTAATATAGTGTGGGCGCTGTATGCAGGAGCTCCGCCTGCGTATAGACAAGTCATCTCTGCATCTCCGTAGGGTTTCCCTGTCTGCCAGTGCATGGGTGCCATATAATTTCCAAGGGCAGTGCAAGGTCACCACAGTTCAAGACGCTGCTCGTTTTACAGACCAGGGAGTGAAGCCCTGGGGTCCAGGTAGCTCAGCTGGCTTGAGCATATTCAGAGCAATTGCAGTCGCTTGGGTTTTGATCCTTGATTGGATCACGTGGGCGACAGATTTGGATTCTATCCTGCTTTCCTGGGCATGGACACTGGGTTGCTGACGATGCCATAGCCTGGTGCACCTCTTGGATTGGCTGAACTTTGCGGAGCATGGAAGAAGGACCCCAAGCCTGCATGTGAAGATGTGTTAGCGGGGCCAGCAGGGGGCGCTCACCCTGCGGTCTATGTGGGTCCTAATGCCCCAGTATAGTGACAGGGACACCATACTGTAAACAGGCGCCGTCCTTCGGATGAGACGTAAAACCGAGGTCCTGACTGTCTGTGGTCATTAAAAATCCCAGGGCATTTCTCGAAGAGAAGGGGTGTTACCCCGGCGTCCTGGCCAAAGTTCCCATTGGCCCTTACCAATCATAGCCTCCTAATAATCCCCATCTATGAATTGGCTTCATTACTCTGCTCTCCTCCCCACTGAGAGCTGGTGTGTGGTGAGCGTTCTGGTGCACTATGGCTGCCGTCGCATCATACAGGTGGGGCTGCACACTGGTGGTGGTGGAGGGGAGTCCCTATTACCCATAAAGCGCTTTGAGTGGAGTGTCCAGAAAAGCGCTATATAATTGTAAGCAATTATTTTTATTATTATGTGAAGATCTCTGCTAGTGTTCAGAAGTGGCAGCGTTCGGAAAGCATGATCCCTCCATCATTGCCTCATCAGAGGTCTCGGTGCACCCGAGCTGGATGGGGCAGCAGTGTGGAGCAGTGGTTAGGGTTCTGGACTTGTAACTGGGAGGTTGTGGGTTCGAATCCCAGGTGAGACACTGCAGTTGTAGTATTTCATCATCTGGATTGTTTCGGTAATACACCCAGTTGTATAAATGGATGCAAATATAAGTTGCTTTGAATAAAAGTGTCAGTCAAATGATTACCAAAGGTTCTTTCACCTTAAGTCTGTGCTTATTTAGCCTTTTCACTTGTAAAACCAGAAACTCCCAATCTTATTAAAGTTAGGTAGAAATGGTTAATCACCTCATCAGAAATGGCAAAAACCATTTATGGATGATGCCAGTTTCATTGCCTCTGCTCGATCCCAAGGGAAAGCTGGTGTGACTCGCACAACAAAAGTATCAGGGAGCAAAAGTTTAATACAACAAAGTATTTTCATCTCTGGAAGATGTGGAGACTGGCTGGCAATAGAATGAGGAGAACGATGTGCTGACAGAGCTCAGGGAGAAAGAGAGGTTGGTGGTCCTGACTGCCTTCACTGGATCAGGTCCAACCGGTCCTCACTGAGGAGACCACAGATCCAAAACGAGACGGAAGAATCAGATTTGAATATTCAGTGCTTTGCAGATTCCAAGTGTGTCATAAACAGATCACCGATCATTGCATAAGGCTTCTTCCGCTACACATATCCCCATAGCAACAAGCCTCTGACTGTCTCGCCAATCAGATGGTGGCTAGTCAGCTGCACACGCATTCCCAGATCCACAGCGGTGCTCTTCTGAGCTACAGATTCCTACAGCACTGTGAAGCCATCACTCGCTGTTCTGTTTGAGTGTGTGCAAGCCTAATGAAGAGGATAAGAAAATAAGAATGGCCTCCTCTTATTTGTAACCTTTCATCCCATCTTGCTTGTTAGATTACTAGTAGCTCAGTGATCCAAGAATTCCATCTGTCCCTTTTCTTAAAGGATCTCATTGCATTCGCCTCAACCACGTGACTTGGGAGTTGGTCCCAGACTCTCTCAATCCTCTTTGTAAAGAAGTGTCTCCTGTTTTCTGGCCTGAATTGTCCTTAAACATAATTTCCCCCTGTGTCCCTGGGTCCTTGTGTTGCTGCTAATCGACTAATTAATCTTCATTAATAATCCCCATTAATGCTGCTAATGAAGTTGAATTTCTTCCAGTGCCTTTCAGGATCTGGAATAATATGGTAGAAATTGAATACAACATTTTAACTTGGTTAACTAAGTGAAGCTTAAATGTTTGATACACAAACACATGACATGACAATGGCAGTGTGCAGAAATGTCTTTTCTATTTTCTCTTCTTTTCTTAGAACCTTATTATGAGACATGTAAGATTGCTTTCAGAGTTTGCTTGTGGCATATGAACTTAATTGACTTTCACTATTAGCTTCTGGGTTACTGACGTTACTCAGGCTCATTTAGTGAGTACCCTGTGGTT